GGCGCGCGGCCCGGCGCCCCGCCTGCTGCGTGTCACCCCCGTCACGACTCCGCCGCGCACTTCGCCCCCGGCTCTGAACTCCGCCGCTTCCGCAGACCCCTCACGTGGCAGCCCCCTCCGGGGCACGGCGCTAGGGCCACGGGGGCTGCGGACCCCGGCGCTCACAGGGATCCCGAGCCGGTCGCCACCCCGCCTCGGACGTCACCCTCGTCGGACCACCCACCCACACCTTCCGCCCGAGGCTGGCGGGGAGGGGGGGCTACAAGCTGTCAGCCTACAGTTTCCACATGACGACGCTCACCCTCGCCCGCCTCGCCACTTGCGCAGCAGCTGAGCTCGAGCTGAAACACACGTTTAATTAAGGCGGGGGCAACGTCTTGGTTTTTCCCTTTAATTTGAAAAATAAACCCCCAAAGCAAAAGGGAAAACGCAGTTTGACCCGAAGCGCTTGCTTTCGGATTCTCCCTCCCGACCACCACCACCGCCGTCCTCCCGAGAAAGGGAGACCTACCCACCCGAAATGCCACCCGCACACCTGCCAGGTGACTCGCCATCCGGAAACCCTGAGCCCCACCCACCCCGCCTGCGGGGAACCCGCGCCTGCGGTGAGGTGGCGGCGACACGGTGTGGTATCCCAAAGTCCCCGGAGTAAGGGGGGACACACACCCTTCGCCCCACCCGGGAGCGCGCCGCCCGCCCGCACCCCACGCCCAGAGCAAACCTGGGCATCCTGCGTCGCGGGGGTCTGAGGTCTGGGCTCCGAGGGGCTGCGGTCCCCCAGCGCCCGGACCCCGCGTCCTTTCCCAGAAGCGCGCCCCCTGCCCTGATTTCCTGTTGACAGCAAGGTGGGCGACGTGGAAGAAAGGCGAGAGTTGTCTCCAGGTTCGGGAAGTCGGTCTCCGCGGAGTGAAGAGGTGGGATCTCGAAATGGAAACAGCACCCCCTCCCTGCCCCTCCCCTCCTCCTCCTCTTCCACCACCTCCTCCTCCTCCTTCTCCTCCTCTTCTTCTGTTTACCTCAAGTTTGAATTTTATCTGCGCAACATTAGCTGGAATGCGGACATTGAAAAAAAAAAAAAAAAAAAACACTCGCTCTCTACCCGGCAGCAGCTCCGGAGGAGCCATGTGGCATCAAGCCACCGCAAAGGGGAAAAAAGTGCTCTTAGCAACACAAACATGGCGAAATAGCTCCGACAGGCCCGTTCCACGCACAGCCCTGCCTTCTCCCTCCGCTCGCCGGCCGAAGCCCCCGGCCGGGAGCTGCAGACCCCTCGGGGCGCCGGCGAGAGGGCCGAGGGTGCGCGCGGGTGTGAAGGCGGGGCGCGCGAAGGGGGGATCCGCGGAGTCCGCGGGGGAAGTATTTCCAATTGACGACCGAGCCCATCTGCCTCGGCCCCCTGAAGTGGAAACAGAACAAAATCTCCGTCCCCAAGTCCTCCTCGACCGTTTTCCCCACCCTACTGAACTTACCCTCTGGGCGGAACGCACGCCGCTTCCATCGCCTTCCCCGTCCTTTCCTCCCGAGCGAGCGTCCAGACGCCAGAGGAAAATGATGCGCACGTAGATTTGTACAGCATATTCTTCGAGAATTTCCCCGGGATGATCGCGCGGAGTGATGGAGACTCTGGAGACAGGTGCAGGGCTGGTGGCCGGAGCTGCCGGCAAACTTGTTCTGCGCGGCGCGATGGGCAGCGGGGTCCCCTGGCCAGTGCCGAGGACCCCAGGCTCCCTGCCCCCCGCCGTCGCCCACTTGTCACGCCAGGCTCCTGCGTGCGCTCGGCTGCAGGGGAGGTGGCGTAGTTTCTTTTCCTCCCACCTCTTCTCACTCACTTGTTTTTGTAGCCGTGGGCTCCCCTAATGCTTTCCTCTCCACAGTGTTGTTTCATCATATCATGTCCATCATGTGACACCGGAGAGGCCTCTCTATGGAAACTTAAAGGGGCTCCCACGTGACTGCAGTGGCAACAACAGCGGCAGGACTGGTGGCGGCGGCCGCAGCTATTGTACCACCACCCATCGGGAGCCCCTCGCAGCATCCCGAAGGTGCTTCTAGCGCTGCAGAAGCTCGGAGAAGCATCCGGGAGCTGTGGCGTCGGTACGTGCGTGGAGCCTATGCTCCTTACCCAGCAAGCCGAACAGAAGGAGCGTCCTTAAATCCTTTCCTGCAGTCACAAAACCCACGCTCTGTTAAAATGACATTTCGTGGTTCCTACTTTGTTTCCCCCAAAGAGCAATGAGTTTTCTAGCCGGCCTGATTAAATTTTACAAAGTAAAAAAAAAGAAACAACAGATTTGTCCTTCCTTGAGTTCTGTCCCATATCACCGGTAGAAATGCCAAAACAAAAACAGAGAGTCAGGCATTTGATACATAATTACCATCAGCACCAGTTTTAAAGCTTTCTGGAATTACAGTCCTCCGGTAACTGTGTTGATGCTCACAGGAGACAAAAATGCAATGCAGTTTTTCTCCTCCGCAGCTATATTAGGGCTTTGTTGCTGACAACAGTAAAAACTTGTTTGTGTCAGGAAGTGAGGTATGAAGAAATGACCTGGAAGGTACAGACAAAACCAGAGTAGCAGTTTTGCATTACTTTTCTGACCATATTCTTGAAAATGATGACAAGCAGAGCGGCTGCTATAAAATACGTGGTGTTTCGTGGGAAATGAAAGAATCAGGAAAACATTCACCTATCAATCACACGTGGCAGACATCAGATACACATATATACATCTCTGTATAGGCGAGAAGAGTGAGGAGCATGTGCATTTTTCTGATGTTTTGTCCTCACTTCCAAAATTTAACTGAGGTATTTAACAAACAACTCTGAAAGACTTACTCAAGTCCAGTGATGTGTGGAACTCTTTAACAGTTTTCAGTACTCGCTGGTGTTACTGACTCACATCCCCTTTAGGGGTTTCTACCTTAACTCCTAATTCTCTGTCTTAAAGTGTTGATGGACCATGAAGATGTTTATCTTATAAATCTAAGCTAGACAGCTATTTCTGTGTTTTGGTTCATGCTTTTCCATTTCTGAGGGAGAACTGGATTGGCGGAATTATGAAAAGACTTTGCAGGATCCTGAAGAGTGGGATGAAAGATCATCGTTTCTTCTGGCCTTGCCTTGACTGTATTTCTTTCCACCTCATCAGTTTACCTCCTCAGCCATGATAAAATGATCCTCGCAGCATCTCTTCAGATTCCATAAATCCTCCAATTTTTACCTCGAAATCTCATGCTTAATTCTTCATCTCTTTCCCCTTGTCTGCCCTTGCCTCCTTTCCAACTCACCCCCTTTTCTGCTTGGGTGCTTGACTCAGGTTCCCCCCACCCCCCAATAATCCCTCCCAGCCCTCTTCCCCTACAGCTCCCTGCCCCCACCCTTTTCCCAGCTCGGTCTCTCTTCTGAGCAACTCTACCTCCTTACCTCTCTTTGACCTCCTTTCATGGCCTCCACAGTCTGACCCTTGACTTCAAGGCCGCTTCTTACCTTTCTTTACCTGAAAGGTGCTGCCTCTTACTGGGGTCTCCTTGACACCCTCCTCTCTGGTCCCATCCCTTCTGCGGTCAAGCCCCAGCATTCCTCCGCAGCTCGGCCTGGTCAGCTTGAGCCTCATTCTGTTCGCGTGGCCCTGCGCTGGGAAAGGAGTGTGTGGTGCACAGTGGGACCAAGACTCCCCCTGGTCCGGGGCCCCTGCCTCGCCCCCTCCGCCCCTCCCGAGTCCGGGTTGCAGCGCTTCCTGGGCGGATGGTTTGGACTTGCTGCCGCAGCTGCGGTTCTGCTGTGTCATGCAAGAAGGAGGCGGCGGCGGCGGCGGCCGGAGCTGGAGGGGGAGGAGGGGAGGAACCTGATCCTCCGGTAGCGAAGGGCTGGAGGCAAACACCGACCTCCCCCAGAGCCGCCCGGGAGTAGGGAGGGCTCCGCTACCCCGAGGGGCCCTCCCCGCGGGGCAGAGGGTAAGTGGGGCGGCTCAGGTGGTCGCCTTGGGAAGGGAGCGCGCAGGGGGGTCAGGTGGGGCGTCGGGAGCATCAGGAGCCACCTCGGCCCAAGTAAAGGAGCCCAGTGTCCAGCTGACAGGGACCCCGGCTGCAATAAGGATGATCAGCCAAACGCAGCCATGATCACTATTCGAATAACATCCCACAGTTGACCCAGGCTGCACCGAGGGTGGAGTTGTGTGCATCCTGAACTCGGGGCTGAGCTGGAAGCAATGATTCAGGGCTGGAGAAACATCACCCAGTCGCCCTGAATAGCCAAGGCCAACACACCCCATGTTCCTAGTCCAGCTTTGCTGCGCTTTCTGGGTTGTCTTGTTCAAAACTAGGGAAAGGGATGGGAAACCTGCCCAACCTCACTTTAGCCACGAAAATAATGCTCTTGGCCAGTGGCCCTGGACAAACAGCCTCTGGTGCAATTAAACAATCAATAGGAAAAAGGGCTTCATCTCCCTCATTGCCCTCTTTCCCTGAACTCCTTCGACCAGGGTAATTCATTGTGCTTAAAGGAGAAAGAAACGTGTTGTGTTCCCTCCCGCCCACCCCCCTGCCAGCCTCCCACCGCACCAATTGCAGACTGCACACCCTGCGCCCACCCCACCTTCAGAGCTGCGCTTCGGAGAGATGGTGCTCCGTGCAGCATGACTGCCTTCAACTCCAAAACCTCTCACCTCTGTTGCCCTTTAGCCCTAGGGGATTCGAAAGCTTAGGGCTGAGATCAGTCCTTGCAGTTATGTTAGATATGTGGAGGGAAGCAGCAGAGGGACAGGCTGGGTACATGGGAACGTTACTTTTTTCACCCAGTAGAATTCGCAGGACCACTACGTATTATTATTATTAATTATTATTATTATTCCTTTCCATTTCACTTGTAGACATTTTAAAAAGCACTTTCTGAAACATTTTTTTCAAAAAATGTCAGTCATGCATTTAGAAGTAAGGGGTTGACGGGATTAACTGAAAGGCTAATGACTGTCTCAAAAGCACATGCGGTTGCTAGGGAACTCGGGCTCATCCTGCTCTCTCATCACCAGCCTGTTAGGTGGAAATCAAACTGCTTGGGGTGTTATTAGAATGAATGGCATTTGGTTAAAGGCTTTCTTGCTTATATTGTAGCATCTTGAATTATCATCAACTGCCTCACACCCACATACCTTGTTTTCCTAATTTGATTTCTGTATTTGCGTCACTGCCAGGGACACTCAGACTAGACCAGTCAGGTTCACTTCCTGTTTCTCAGAACTGGTTTATATTTGGTCTGGTAGCACTAGCTGGTAAAACATTATCAAACTGATCCTCTTGGAAAGAAGTCTTTGCTTTCAGTTCAAAACAAATTATACCAATTAAAGTCTAATTCCCATGGAAAACATCATTTGAGAAGTAAGATAGACCACCAGTCTATTTCATTAGCCATTTGAGAAAACCATTCTTGAAATGTAAAACCTAGAAAAATCCATCTTTATTTCTTTTACTCAGAATCTTCAGTCCTCAGCATTGGAACTAAAACAAACTCAACTGGAGAGCAGATATGATATTTCTAAAATGAAGCACAAAAAAATACACACCGAAGCTGGGAAAATCGTTTTGACTAAATAAGGCATAGACTTGAATGGAATCCAGGCCCAAGAAGGACAAATAAGTTGGGTTAGCATTGTGGCATTCTGAGAACAAAGTGTGATTACAGGGCAACACTACAAATAGGAAACCCCATCACTTTGTGTACTGTCTCTACCAATTCTTCTATGTTCCTGGACAAGACACCCTTAACCCCCTCCCCAGTTCCTTCCTCTTTATAACAAGGATATCACCAAGACAATGTTATAGGCATAAGACTATATAAATAGGTGAGTTCTGATGTGGATCATTTGTTTAGATGGAAAATACAGCCCTTTGAAAATGATGTATGTGAGCCAGGTTGGTGATACATGCCTAAAATCCCAGCACTCTGGGATGCTGAGGTAGGAGGATCACAAGTCTGAACTCAGCAATTAAGTAAAACAGTTCATCAAAAAAAAATTTTTAAAGGCTGAGGAATGTAACTCAGTTCAAAGCCCTGGGTTCAATCCCCCCCAAAAAACAGGGAGAAAGTCCTTGCAGTTATGTTAGATATAGTTAACTGTTATGGTTTCAGTCTACAATTCCCCCTGAAAGGCTCATTTGTTCAGAAATAGGAAGGTCATTGGATTACCGGGGCTCTAATTTCATCACTGCATTAATTTACTGATGGATTCATAAATTTTTTCTTGGTGTTTTGACATGAGGTGTTTTGACACAGGGTAGAGGCCAAGCGAGCCTTGAACTCACAATTCTCCTGCCTTAGCCTCCTGAGTGCTGGAATTACATGTGGGCACTGTCATGCCTGGCACCGAGGGATTCGTCATTTGATGGCATTATTGGGAGGTGACAGAACTTAGGAGGTAATGCCTCATGGAAGGAAGCCTACCACTGGGTGGGCATAGTCTTGAGGTCTCTATCTTGTCCACAGCTGCTTCCTCTCTCTGTCTTTGCTCCCTAGCTGCCGTGAGGTGAGCAGCTGTCCTCTGCCACTGCATTCTGCCTTAGAACCAACCAAGCACAGACTGAAACCTTGTAAATCTTTTGTCCTTTAAGTTGACTGTCTCAGACATTTCCTCAGAGTGACAGAAAGCTAACTAACATTCACCCAGTGCACTTTGATGAGGAAAGTGATGGAATGATGGAGGAAGGGCTATTAAAAAATAACTCAGTGAGTCCTCAGGGACCCAGTAACTTATTTGTCTCTAATTAATGATAGGCAAAAACATAATTTAGATTTAAGAATTTTTCAGATTCCAGGTATTAAGAAATGGCATGAAGAAATGTGAGATTTATGGTGGAAAGAAAAGTCTTGACTTTGAAACCCAACTCTGCCACTTTATCCATTATTGAGTGCCTGCAGTGTGTCAAGTACTGTGCTAGGTCCTGGGAATACAAAGATGGATAAGACCTCAGTCAGTGGCTTGCAGGATCCTATAATATAATGAGGAGGTAGATGAGTACACAGTTGATCACACAACCGTAAGATGATACTTACAGAAGAACTCATAGGAAGGGACATGATTATAAAAGATGAGTCTGTGATGAGTACTGAAGGATGAACAGAAGGAAGTCAGACAGATGGGCAAGTTCAAAGAAAGATATTCCAAGCAAGAAAGCATTGTGTGTAAAGACCTCGATGATAAAAGGTATGCCCAGAGAGTTGAGGGCAAAGGACAGTGCCCACAGGAAGAAGATTCTCAGTGAATAACATTATGTCACTGCATGGCAG